TCTCTCTGTAAAAGCATAGCCATGCTTTCATGGAGGATCATTGGTTAACTCTGTTTAGGTAAAATCTGGTCTAGATTGGGATGTGTATTGATGTATGAATAAGGATATTTATTGTTTTAATGCCACAATTTCCTGAAAAATCAAAGAAAACCAGAACTGACTGATTAATCTATCCACCTGCTACAAGCTTCATCCCTGCAGCTCCAGTTATTCCCAAATACTTACTGAAAAAATTTAAAGGCCTTGACGGTTCCCCCACTGTTGGAAAACAGACGGCGAAGATCTTCCTCTCCAATTCCATCCCTAAGAAAAAACAAAAATCAAAACAAAAACACCAACGAATAAAAAGCAACATAAATCCTGGTCAATAACACCAACTGATGCCATTTCATTTCCCTCTACCTGATGTTGGAGAGGTGAAGTGTTGCGGACGGAGGAAAGATGTTCTGGAAGTTTTTAGACCCTGGTTTCTTAAAGCGATGCAGGGGAGAGCCAGAAAAATCTGTCCAACAACAAAAAGAAATGTTGACTTGAAGAAGCGGGGTTATTTTAACACTGAATTGATAACTTAACAAGGTAAGCTGACCCAGAATAAAGACAGCCTCTGATATTTCAGCTGATTGCTGAAGTTATTGAATAAAAATAGTTTTACCTCATCGTTACCAAAGTTTTATCAAATCACTGATTTAAAAAGCAGAGGTCAGCTTTTATGCGTCGGTCCTTCATCAGTTTGAACAACTGTTCATTAAATGATTAATTCAGCTGTATGGATGGTTGGAGCATGAATGACCTGTCTAGGTTCACACCCTCAACCAGCTTCACAGGAGTTGAGCTTCAGACCTTTAATGAGCAGCTTCAAATATCTAGATATTTCTGATCCAATCTGATACTGTTTACATTACATTCATCAAGTTTAAAACATACACACTACCGTTCAAAAGTTTGGGGTCACATTGAAATGTTATAAATGTGGTAAATGACTATTCTAGCTGCAAATGTGTGGTTTTTGGTGCAATATCTACATAGGTGTATAGAGGCCCATTTCCAGCAACTATCACTCCAGTGTTCTAATGGAACGATGTGTTTGCTCATTGGCTCAGAAGGCTAATTGATGATTAGAAAACCCTTATGCAATCATGTTCACACAGAACACAGAATACAGAAGTTACAAAACTGACCTTACTTTGAGCAGATTGAGTTTCTGGAGCATCACATTTGTGGGGTCAATTAAACGCTCAAAATGGCCAGAAAAAGAGAACTTTCATCTGAAACTCAACAGTCTGTTCTTGTTCTTAGAAATGAAGGCTATTCCATGTGAGAAATTGCCAAGAAATTGAAGATTTCCCTTCAGAGGACGGCACAAACAGGCTCTAACCAGAGTAGAAAAAGAAGTGGGAGGCTGCGTTGCACAACTGAGCAAGATGATAAGTACATTAGAGTCTTTAGTTTGTGAAACAGATGCCTCACAGGTCCTCAACTGGCATCTTCATTTAATAGTACCCGCAAAGCACCAGTGTCAACATCTACAGTGAAGAGGCGGCTACGGGATTCTGGGCTTTAGGGCAGAGTGGCAAAGAAAAAGCCATATCTGAGACTGGCCAATAAAAGAAAAAGATTAAGATGGGCAAAAGAACACAGACATCGGACAGAGGAAGACTGGAAAAAAGTGTTGTGGACGGATGAATCCAAGTTTGAGGTGTTTGAATCACAAAGAAGAACGTTTGTGAGACGCAGAACAAATGAAAAGATGCTGGAAGAATGCCTGACACCATCTGTTAAGCACGGTGGAGGTAATGTGATGGTCTGGGGTTGCTTTGGTGCTGGTAAGGTGGGAGATTTGTACAGGGTAAAAGGGATTCTGAATAAGGAAGGCTATCACTCCATTTTGCAACGCCATACCATACGCAGTGGACAGTGCTTGATTGGAGCCAATTTCACCCTACAACAGGACAATGACCCTAAACACACCTCCAAATTGTGCAAGAACTATTTAGAGCAGAAGCAGACAGCTGGTATTCTATCGGTAATGGAGTGGCCAGCGAAGTCACCAGATCTGAACCCCATTGAGCTGTTGTGGGAGCAGCTTGACCGTATGGTACACAAGAAGTGCCGATCCAACCAATCCAAGCCAATGTCTTGACTCTATTTTCTATTCATTTCACAACGTATGGTGGTGAATAAGTGTGACTTTTCAGGAAAACACAAAATTGTTTGGGTGACCCCAAACTTTTGAACGGTAGTGTATATTATTGACTTTATTAAGTTTTAAAAATGTTCTAATTAGCCATGACTTATTTGTAAAAGACTTATGCGAAAAAAAAAAGATCTTTCTGTGTAAAACTACAAACACATTTATAATCCAATATTAAAAATGCATGTAATGCCAACAGCACACAAACCCAGATGCTTTCCTCCAGTACAGAGATGTCATCTTACCTTTGGTCAGTAATTGATCATCCAGTCCTTCTCTGGGCAAAGCTACTGTTTGGTGTTTAGACAGAGTCACTCTCATCACTTTGCCAAACACCTTCTGGCCATTCAGGTGGCTCATTGCTAAAGGCGAGAATAACAGAGAAAGGAAGAGTGAGAAGCTCCAAGAACAAAAGCCTCCATGTTGGTCTAAGAAGTGCACATAAACAGAACTATGTCTTACCGAGCTGAGCCTGGTTGCCATCAGAGAGCTGAATCAGAGCACTGTCCTTTTTGTTGTAGAGGATCTTCACCCTCTGGACATCACCATAGACTCCTGAAGGGAGAGAGAGAGACAGACAGAGAGAGAGAAAGAGAGAGCAGGAGAGAGGAGGGCGGAGGAGTAGATGAGAAGGATAGAACAGACAGAGCAGGAGAGATGGAGCCGACCAAGATAAAAAAAGAAGAGGTGTGAAGGATGAAAGGAATCAAGTTAGTGCCAGAAAGACAAATGAAAAGAAAAGATGGACTCTTCCCATTTGACTTCTACTAAAATTCAATCAAGTGCCTGAAATGATTGGAGGGAATTTAATGCTGTGACACCTCAGCTGAACTTTACCAGCAACACTCAGCTCAAACCGGCTGGCAGGTTAATGTCTGGCATGAGCGCAGCGTGATTAGGTGGTTAAAAGGTAAAACGGTGCAGGAAAGAAAAAGCTTGGACTATAACAGATGAGCTAACCTGAAACAACACGCTGTTGGTAAAACTGGTGCAGAGAATAAAATCAGAGCTTCTGTAATGCTTTGTTTGGGGGAAGGTTTTTACTTCTAGATGTCTGTGCCCAGCTTGGATGGCTGGTAATCCCAACAGCATAGTTTAAAGACAACAAAGATCAACTAGAACCACAACAACTTGTTACAAAAATTGAGCAAAAAAAGTAAAACAAGGAGCAGGGAGAGTTAAGAGTGAGTCATGGTGAGTACACTGGATTGTAGTGATCAACCGAACCATTAATATGGTGAGAACATAAACACCCAGAGACCTAGCTGCCTCTCTGAACAGGATTCTGAAGCAGTTGAAATTGTTTGTTTTTGCTCCAGTCGCTCTGAGCAGCGTCTCCATTCCTGCTAATCGACACCATCACAGCATGATGCTGCCAGTAGCAGAGTCATCTTTCCTCCTTTAAGTATTTCTGCAAATAGATGAATTTTGCCTTGTAATTGGGCCAAACTTTTCCAATTTTCAAGTAAGTTGGACCGAGCAGTGCTTTGGGGAGGAGAGATTACTAAAGCTTCTTTCCCACTGAAAATAACGAGTTAACACAGGATTTTCATACATGGGTCGACCCGCTAACAATTGGCATTTGGCTAACTTCCCATTGGCAAAAAAAGCTAACTACTAGCTGACAAGCTGCATGGCCGCTGCTAACTGACGACGCCATCAAGTTGGGTTAGCATTGATGATGTCATCAGTGCACCAAAAATCAGGAAAGTAAACAATGCAGTGCGACATTTAGGGTATCCAGGGCTTAGTAGGGGGGCTTTATTGTTTTCGCTATTTTATCCCTCTTACCAGTGCTGAGCCATGTTTATTTATGTAAACATAGTGGTTTTGGCTTTTTAGATCAGAAGCAACTGGCACGGTGTATTGACGTGCGCATGTTGCATTCAATGGTATCACGTAATTTAGCGGGTCAACATGTCTCCATTGTTCCCAAACACAGCTGCGATCAGAGCCAAAATGATTTTGACTCGGGTCTGATGCAGTGTTGTAGGGTAGACACGCGTCAGTGAGCTGTTCCCACTGCCGCCAAAAGCTAACTGTTCCTGGGTTTAAATGTTTTTTTTTTTTGTCAGTTGAAAAGGAGTATAAGAAGCACCATTTGGTAGGTGTATCCCATTAACCCACCCCCCCAAAAAAGCCACCCTTTATGTAATTTTTGGAGCAAGTTAAAGAGATATGAATACTTCTGCCAGGCCATGAACATCAGGGAGGTTTGGAAAAAGCACAAGTGATGCAGAGGGAAACAGCACAGTTCTTGTACAGTCAAAAACAGGTGGTAAAGCTTATATAATGATTAATTATGAACAAAATCAAATCTCAGGAAAGTATTTCAGCTTATTTCAGTAAGTAGCAATGGTCTGACCTCATTTTCCCTCCATGTTTAATAAGAGAAACAAACTACAAACTAAACATTTAGGCTAAACAACACCTTCATGGCTTCTAGTGTCTTTGTTCTCATCAATTAATAGATAAGCTGACCAAGCACACAATCTCCCAGACTCACTGCTCTTTCATTGTAAAGACAGAATCATATTTCAACTTTGCAATGTACAATGTGACAGAGAAGAGCTTGATAAACAGGCATAGAGGAGAGCAGAGTGCCCACGACATCACTGAAGAAAAGTGAACAAAACTGGATTAACAGAGAGAGATATACAGATAGAATAGAAGAGATTGAACATACCGAAGAGGGTAAAGAGACTTTGAGGCGTGACCATCTTTAGAGAGAGAGACCGCAGAGCAGAGGACAGGAAGAGGAGGAGCAGAGGAGGAGGAAGAGGAGAGACGAAGGTAGAGATCAGACCGCCCAGCGTTGGACGAAGGGGGAGGTGGTGGTTGTTTCCATGATGATGAGGGGGTGAGGCAAAAATGGAAGGGTTGGTTTGGGAGGGGGAGAGGTCAGAATGGCAAAGCCAGAGTCCAGTTCATTAGATTAAGAAATGGTTATTGATTAAAAGTAATTGGGGGGAGATAGAGAAAATGTGTATATGTAGATGTTCAGAAAAGTATTTATCATTAAAGGAAGGGTGGTTGTAGGGAGAGTCGGATGGAAAGAAAAAAAAAATGTATGAGGAGCATAGGAAGGGGGGGGGAGAAAGGAGGCAGGGAGGGGAGAAAGGAGGAGAGGAGGACAAAAACCAAAGCAGAGGTCAGTAAACAGAGCATCAGTGGAACATCAACGGAGTCTGAATGATTGCTGATTGAGTCAAAAAGCACGAACGCAAAATAAAGAAATCCCACTCAGCTGTTTCAGTAGCACACACTCTCACACTCACTCATTCTGCTGGATGCATGTACCAGTGAAGAACAGGGGAGCGGGGGTGGGAGGAAACTAAACAAAACCAAAATAATCAGAACGTTTGAATGAGAAAGAAATGAACCATGAAGCAGCAGGCTGAAGGTAATGGGTACCGTTAGGGCTGCTGAACATGAGGAAGTGGTCAGACTAATGATTTTACCTCTTCATAGTAGAATTATAAAGTCTTTACCTTACAATAAAAACAGGAATATTTAATAAAGGAGGAGTCAACAATAATGTGACTCTGACTACAGGATGTTCAATGAACTATGAGTGCTGTATAACAGTAAATCACACACTGGTATATAAGGTGGATGCTGACACTAAACAGACATGTGACCTGCTAATGGATATGGATGCTTTCTGGATTTGGTACCTACAGGAAAAAAGCTGTTGGCTTTCAACTAGAATGTCTTTAGGGGGACTTTCATTCTACTGTGCATGCAGTGCAAAACTGATCAAATGTCTTCACCTGATGACACAGTGAGGAAATGAACGATTTATACGACTCGACACATGAAATGAACTATCCACACTCCAACATATTGAATTAGGTATATTCTAGGGCTACACAATGGTATGAAAACAGCATTCTGACACTAACCCATAGAATGCTGACTAAATGTTAGCTTTATCATATTTTGAACTAAAATCTAAAGGCCAGTCAAAGTCTTTTAAACATGGCCTAACATTAGCAATGCCCTGATAAAACAGCTTTGAGTATCGACTGATACCATTTATTAAGGCTGATGTCGGATTATTCCAGATGCCAGTATTGGACCAGGACATCAGTGCCAACTGTATAGTGTAAAATGTGAATTCACAGTGTTATCTAATATACAGATTGGATTCCACATTTTGTGCAGCTCTAGCATATCCCCAGCAGTTTCGCATATTCACATCTGGTCAGAGCATATTTAAATTCAGCTCCTAAATGTAAAGAAATTAAAGGTATAGTGGAGGACGTTCCTTTTCTGAGTGGATAATCAAAATAAGTGCTTCTCCTAATTGTCATTGTGGCGAGTCTACCATAGTCTTCTTTTGGAAAGTAAGCTTGTATGAGCGATGCAAACAGCAACTTTTAAACAGACAGTGCATGAGGAGAAATTGGCTCATGCATTGTCTCGCACACATTAAAGGGGAACACCGTTTTTTTTGTTTGTTTTTTTTTTTACATTGGGCCCTTGATTTTACGTTATTACATGATGTTCTACTCACCCATATAAGTTTTGTGTCATTTGGAGCCGTTCTGAAGATATTCCATTAGGTTATATCCAGGTAACGTCTTCCTATGGGCAACGACTTGAAGGCACACGGTTATATTTTTTATATTTCTATTTTTTAATAACAAAGCAGAGTGAGTATGACGTCATCCGCGCACGCCGGCTACTGTTCATTCTTCCTGTCCGCTGAACTGCTGCTAGTTTCACTCACATGCCTGGAAGATGTCTAGTGCTACTACCACAGATGATCTCGCTCTCGATATGGAATTGAGCGATTTAGATTAGCTAGCCGAATATATAAGAGGTAGAGCGTAGTAATGTAATGTACATTGGTTAAATAAAATAAAATATTTTTTGGAAAAAAAAAACAAAACTCCAGTCCGGCGCGCGGATGACGTCATACACAAGCCGCTTTGTTTTTAAAAGACATAAATATAAAAAATATAACCACAGATGTCTTGGGTACAGTGATTCGCCTACATGTTCTGAATGCTGGCGTACCATAAAGAATAAATTATGAACAGTTTAGTTTGTGCCTTCAAGTCGTTGCCCATAGGAAGACGTTACCTGGATATAACGGAATATCTTCAGAACAGCTCCAAATGACACTAAACTTATATGGGTAAGTAGAACATGATGTAATGACATAAAATCAAGGGCAAAATGTGAAAAAAATGAAATTCCCCTTTAATAGGCGTTCCCTCTTGGGAGCAGGTACAGTGTTATGCATGTGAATTTTTTTTTTTTTTTTTTTAAGTGGAGAGGGCGGGTCTTTTCAAACATTTGCAAAAATCCTCCACTATACCTTTAACTTGTTGACATACATATTGGGAAGTTTACCATCTAAAATTACAAATCTAAAACATGTGAACAACATGTAAAATAATAACTAGCAGAGTCTATTGCAGTAACCTCCAGGAGAGCTGTTGCCTATTATTAGAGGTTATTGCAATGAAATTGTTGGTTTCCAACTTGCTGCAAGCTGTAGCTAAACTGAACTAAAATCAATTTATAAAAAAATGAAAATAAATAAAAGACAATTCCATATAGGATTATCTGGATATCTGCAGCTAGATTTTAACTTTAAACTTCTGACATTCATGCAGCTTATTAGTTTAAGAAAAAAAAATGTTGCCATATTTTTACTATAAATAAAAGATGATTGATCTTATCTGTTAATTTCTCTACCAAACTGTTGCTGTTTGAGGGATTGCATTCGAGTCAATGAGTTGATGAAATCAACTGGTTTTCCTTAGATACAAAACATTGATCTATGATCTGGTGAACTAAAGTGCCTTGAGCTGACGTGTTGTGAATTGGTGCTATATAAAACAGAATAGAATTGAACTACCACCAGGAGAAGGTTTGGCAAAGAGATCAACTTCTCTTCATACTGTGCGGCATTGTTTCATGCCCCACTTAGATCCTGCCAAAACATATAAGAAGCTCAAGGGATTTATTTGTTTTCTAAGAAACCAGTAAGATGGTTTAAAGCGGCCAAGATAAAATTCCTGCACTGTGGCCTCATCCTCTCTCTTCATACACGGACATACAGACAGAAGAGAGACAGAGACTGACAAACAAGAAAGAATGGGAGATATTGTTTATAAGGAGATATTCAAGTAGGTATTCAGAATTCTCAAAACTGACTAACATCAATAATAATAAAAAAAAAAAAAGGTTTAACTTGTTACAGAAAAACAAAAGGCTTCCAAAAAGAACTGAAGGTTTAGGATCCGGTACAAACAGAGTGGTAAGATGTAATCATCCAAACCATCAGAGTTTAGAACATTTCAGGTCATGGCAAGAAAAATAAGTTAAAATAAAGACATGCACATGCCCACGCACAAAAACCTTTATTTGTGCACGACAAGGAGCTCTGCCAAGTTAAGGCTGCTGCCTCTGAAAAATGATGCATCTCAGAATCTAAAGCAATTCTGAGAAGCAAAATACATCAACTATGATGTAATTAACCTGTTTACCATGTATAGCTGCATGTTCTTTCAAAAAAAAGCTGAATTTATAAAATCTTCTTACAAAAGACTATTTTTAAAAAATTAAGAAAAAGTGACAAAAATGCATGTAATTTAAACTGCAACACCGTATACTCCAGTCATCCTGCGACTGTAAATGATGCTGAATAAGTACAACTAAACAACCCTCTGAGGTTAAGGATCCATATTTACAGAAAAATAAAGAAACAAGTCATGTTTCCTACTCATACACCACACATCCACACAAACATGTATACAATGTCTAATGCAGAAGAATCCCTCAAAACTGTAAAATATGAGTATAAGAGAGAAAAACTAGAGCCTAATGAAATATTTTAGAGCAGCTATATTGGCTTGTGGTTAGTGTACCTCTTCATTTAAGTTGGATGCCAACAGGACTCCTGACACTCCGGATCCAGAGAGGGCAACGCGACCTGCAGCTGCTGCTGCCGCCGCCGCAGCACTGAGAGGACTGATGGCCCCTGAAGTGTTGGAAAGCCAAGGGTGAGAAATGAATCAGAATCAAACAATCCAAAATAATGATAAACTGATTGAGTAGAGCATTTATTTAAGACTGACAGCCTCTAATAGGATAAACTGTTTCCATGAAATATGTAAATATCCACTAATAAATGAACAGAAATATGCCCTGTATATTACAGCTCTGCAGAACAATGAACAGAGGAAGAGACACAAACACTGTGGGTGTTTTTATTATACAACAAACAATTAACTACTTCAAATGGATGAGCTTATGATTTAATATTAAAGCTTGTGAGCTTTACTATTGAGCTTATGATTTAATGTTAAATTTGAGGAGGCTTTACATTGGAATGGGAGGAGAGGTTAAAAATAAGGGAGGCAACCTCTAAAACCTATTTAATCCACAAAATAAATTTTTTAGATTTCAAATAGTTTTATACTGATATGGAAAACAATTTTAAAAATTTTCTGCATAAAAATGTTAACTTAAAAAAAAAATAAATCAAGGTAAGCTAAGCTTTTAGCCCCATGACATACAATGATTCTCTCCTGGACTGCTTTTCATTTAGACCAACCAGCCAGTAAGCATCAGATAAGGTCAGGCTATAAAGAGCGCTTCTTGCTCTACTAGACCGCAGCACAACAAACAATAAAAGTTGTAAACAAAAGCATGGGAATTCTTTTGTTTTTAAAAATATTAGGGCTAAAATCAAATATATGTTATTCATCTACAATATCTATAAATCTCCACATATGCTGATGCAACAAGCTTTCAGGCATTACGTGCCGGAAATTAATGAACATATTGTGCAACAAGTGCATGGAAAAGTTAACTGAAAATGATGTGTACCTCCGCCCTGTGAGAGGGAGAGAGATGATGAGTAACCTCCTCCACTGGAGTAGGAGGCTAGAGCTCCAGATGGGGTACCTACAAGACAAGGAAAACTACATTAATAACACAAAATACACTTAAAATGGGTTTATATCTCTCACAGATTTAAGGTTAAAGTTACTAAATAAATTTTTTGATTCAAAATGAAAGGCAATCCCCGCTTTGTGTGGGAAATATGTTGTTTCTTTATTTACTTTTAGTTTATGTACCAGGAATGGTGAAGAACTGTAAATGTCCCCACAAACATACACTTTACAATCAATACATTTCTTACTAAGGTGTTTTAGATTATCACACTGATTTTAATATCAGACAAAAAGCTAACCTGAGGGAAAGACTAAGAAATGTGACTGCAAATATAAGCACAAATGAATACTGTGGAGAGATGATGGCAGGTCAGCATTTACCCAATAAGGAATGATCCTTGTTGGTGGATTCTCCATCTCCTGTTGGAAGGTCAGGTCTGGTGTAATCCCGACTTTTATCATTGTTGTATTTAACGTTAAGGTTGACCAGTTTACTAAAGTCTATCCGCAGTGTGCAGCAGGAATTATAGATATTCTGCCCGTCCAATGACTAGAGTAAAAGAAACGGAGTGTAAAAGTCATCATTAATCAAACAGTCTGCTATATTAATTCAACATTTTCATACAAACTAAGGAATAAATTTATAGACCAATAAAGAAACATTGAAATTCATATGTAGCATGACTATCACCTTCACATTAGTAATGTGATAAAATAAAGTAAGATGTGTTCGCACTGAACGAGCATCAGTGGGGTAATGGCCCAAATTCTGGACGAGGGTCATTAGCCCACTGATGCATGATAATAAAATTCCAAACTTGATATCAATACCAAATACCATTGCAATAAAAAATATCCAAGTAATTAAAGGCATAAAAAATGTGATTATTAACATTTAAAAAAAACTTTTTACATTTCAACAAAGAAGATGCTTTCCCGGAATCTGAGGCTCTATTAATTAATAAGTGTGCAAATAAATGCAAAATAAAATAACCAAAACATTTTAAGGTTGTTTGAGGTATTTAAATGTAAATTAACAATTGCAAAAATATGCCAACAACAATATCAATACCACCCTAATCTGGACCGACACACTTACTATAAACCTCTAATGTAATCAAAGGAAGTCTGCTGCTTTAATTTCCTGCAGGTTTTTTTTTTTTTTAAAACCAGTGATTTCCTCCAGGTGTTATCTTACCAGTTTAGCCTGTTGGGCATTGACAGGGTCACTGAACTGCAGAAGAGCCTGAAACTGGTTGTTTTTAGTGAAAGTTATAATCTTCATCACCGTGCCAAACTTGCTGAAAATCTGAAAGAAAGAAAAGAACTGTGACATGTAGGGATGGGAATCGAAAACCGGTTCCTGTTAAGAACCGGTTCCGTATTTTCCGATTCCATGGCATCGTTTGGCAGCTCGCTGAATGATTCTTTTTTCGATTCCCGCAGCACCAGAGCCTAGAGCGCCGGCTCTGGGGAGCACGACTTACGTCACGTTTTTTACGTAAGTTACGCAACTTACGCGAGCTGCGGTCACTTTGTGAATCAAAGCCCCGTCTTTCCTTAGCCCAGAGGGTAGATCAGGA